TAGATTTTGAATAACTCGCTTTTTTGGCACTCTTGATTGGGCCTCTTTCTATTTGTTTATTACCGTTTGTTCGTGTTGCAAGCTGTGCACCATCTTACGTTAGTGCACCATCTTACGTTACACTTTTAGCATTGCAAACACAAGTAGTGTTAGCATCGTAAGCACAAGTAATAAGTATTCAAATACCACGTTTGCAAGAATCTCAAAACGCAATGATGCCAAATGGTTGATTTATTGATTGATTTATTGAAATTACATACATTTGCTGACTTGTGTGCTCAATATAGGCTTATAAGTCATTGTCAAGTAGAAAATACAGATAGAACAATTCAGAGAAAGACATCACAAAGAATACATCCAGGGTTACGGCGGGATTCGAACCCGCTACCTCCACGCTTAACAGAGCGTTTGGACCGGCGATACCGCTCGGCCAGGGAGGCCTCCCAAATGGCTTTAAAATACAACGGAAACAGTAACTCAGAAATTTAGGCGGTATCGAGCTTGCAGCGTTTCCTAGTGTAGAAAACACCGGCTACAAAATGTTCGAATCCGCTACTTTCCTAACGATTGATTGATTTATTGAAATTACATACATTTGCTGACTTGTGTGCTCAATATAGGCTTATAAGTCATTGTCAAGTAGAAAATACAGATAGAACAATTCAGAGAAAGACTTCACAAAGAATGCATCCAGGGTTACGGCAGGATTCGAACCCGCTACCTCCATGCTTAACAGAGCGTTTGGACCGACGATACCGCTCGGCCAGGGAGGCCCCCTGACGATTGAGACCAGTTCTTTCTACGTTCTATATCTGGGCAGAAATAAACAGCTTAACCTAAAAGAAAACAAATAGTTCTACTGTTTCTTCTTTAACTGGTATTTATTTTTAAAAATGTATTCTATTTTCATCTTTCTTTTTCCTTTTGCGATTGCTAGTAAGTATTTATCGATGTTGATACGGTATAAAAATGTTTAGATTTCATTGTGGATTCATTTATTTATTAAATATTATTATATTTGTTCTAAAAAATTTTATTTTTGACTGGATATTTACCTGAACTTAGGAACAAAGTAAAATGTGTGTTTGTGTTTGTATATTTATGTGCTCGAAATTTTTATAATCATATGTTTATTTGAGCTTATTTTTTAAATTGTAATGCATTTTATATTTTTTAAACGTGTGACAACAACTTAAACTTACAAGTTGTATTTTTTTTAAATTTTTTTTTTTCATGTAGGTATGTTTTAAGTCAAACCTTTTAGAACTTCCCTTTTTTCTCTTCTAACTCTAAATGTTCGTCAAATATTTTTTTAAAAAAGCACTGCATGCTTCTGCTGTTAAGTCTTTATAGTCTCTAAAGTGATTGCTTCTTTTTGCACCATACAAACTGAAATGTAAACAAACGATAATTGTTCGTGCCTTACTCCTTATATTTTATGAATAATGAATTGCAGTAATAGATAGCAGAACAATTTAATATAAAACTTTTTTGTTTTGCAAAATTATCAGTTTTGCTTTCCGACAAATTATGCCAATGAAAAACGATCCTTCCGCCAACATTTTTGTCAATAAGTGTCCTATAAGCTTATGTAACAGAATTTAACAATACTTGTAGATTATTATGGAAGTTGCCTTTACAATAGTTTATAATAAGCTCAGTTGTCTTACTCTTAGTTAGGGAATAATTAAGTATGTTGATTATAGCTTTAATTTGATTATTTTTATTTTACCTGCAACTCTATCAAACTTTTTTCTTCTAAGAATGAGTAAAAATATTCTAACTCAAGGAAGTAAAAAAAATTCCTTCTAGTCTTCTAAAGAATGTCTATTATGAAAAAGTGTAATTCTACCATTATGGATGTAACATTAATAAACCTGATATGCAGATAAAAGTATTAAAAATTCTTAATAACTTTTAATATATGTTTTTAATTTACTTCATTTATGCTGTTATTTGTTAGTGACCAATTTACTCTTCATAAATATTTTCTAAAAATTAAAAATTGATGTAACTCATACAAATGTTAAAATTATACAAGGAGCAAATTATTTGCACATTTGTATGATTTATATTAAAATTTCTAAGCAGAGATTCTTAATGTACATTTAGTAGATCATGATGCTTTAGAAAATATTCAAGTTTTAAAGATTGTAACTGTTAATTTTAATTATAATAAAGTTAATTTGTTACAAGCATAACATTTAATGTTCAAAAGATAATGCTCTTTGGTTCTAAATTACTAATAAAATTTTACAAAATGCATTATATAAGCATAATATATAAGCATAATTAAAATGTTCAATTATTTTTTTTTATCTTGTCCGCATATTTATAGAACAATAGTGTCTATATTTTTTAATCATTATTTTTTAATCGAAAACATTGAGTGATAGTTGGAAAGGTTTCCATTAAATGCTTGTGAATGGTTTAGTTACTTTTCTTAGGGCTTAAAATGTTATTTGACCTTTTATATTAATTATTAAAGAAAATCCAGTTTAAAGAAACACAAAATGTTTGTTTTATTTTTTATTTATTTTTTAAATGCAAAGTTTTTTTTCAACTCTGGCATGTAACCAGTCCAATACTCCAACAAGAGGTTGAGAAATCACATAGGCCAAAATACTTTCGTTTAATGCCATGGTTCTTGCAAAGTTCCAGTAATACAAAATGCAAAAATTTGATCAGCAAATAAAAAAAAGCAATAATTTTAGCTGCCTTTATTTATGTAGATACATTATGTTACAATTTTCTAAAAAACTAGATCTAGTAGTTAAAAATTTAAATTTATTTAGTTCATCTTTTGCAAGTAATGTTATTTCTTAATACAGTTCAATATACAGAAAGTTTACTAGACAATAAATATTTATTATTATTTTTTAAATTTTTATGTTAAACAAGAAGCAAAATTTTCTGTTTCATTAAAAGGAACCAAATTTTGGCTAATATTAGGTACCCAAATTAAACAATACTAAGCTGCATCTCTGGTGTTTATTGAAAAAGTTGCTGTTGCCTTCAAATTTTTTTATTTATTTAAAAAAAAATTTTCTTAATACTTATATTGAAATTGTAACTTGGTAAAGGAAAAAATGCCTTAAATTATTATTATTATTTTTTTATAGTTTAAATAGACAATACTTAGTAGAAGAATCAAAAGATGCAATAAAAACTACATTAATAATANTATCCGGGATAGCGATGGTCCCGAGCATCCCGGATAATTGGTTCTCTACTGTATTTTATTTATTACTACGAGTTTCAACTTATCTTTTTGAAATTGATTTATGAGTATCTTTATTGTTTGTTGAACTATGTAAAGCAGGGCTGATTGTGTTCCAGAAAAAATCCGGATTTCCAGAATTTTCGCTAACAGTGATACGAAAGTTTCCGGAGATTGAAGGTTCATACATTTTAAAAAATCATTAATCATGGAAGTTTCCGGAAATCAAATTTTCAAAGGTGGAACTTAAAAACACAGTTTATTTTATTTGTTTGTAAGGGAGAGCCTGAGAGATACTTTACTTTATAAGCTTATATTCATGATTAATATTCATTTTTTATCAGTAAATAGTTGTTATAATCATAAACTCAGGAAAGAAAGACATATTTGTAAATTTCAATTACTTCTCCAGGTCATCATAGGTATGTGTAAATGGTATAGGTATGTGTAAAATTTTGAATATATTTTAAGTAAACTAAGAAATATTGAAAAAAAGGAAAAAAACCCTCGTTTGAATTTTTTTCTATATTTTCAATTTAAAATGTTTGTTTTTTTTTAACTCAAGAACTTTTCCGGAATTTTGACTTGGGCTCACAATCACCCCTGGTAAAGTAAAAAGTATGCATTTTTTAAAAAAATTTACAGTAGCATTCTCATCATGTGTTTTTTTATTTTTATAATCTAGTTAAATACTTATATCTTTTTCAGATTCAGATTATCAAGGGACATATGCAGTTAAGGCAACAGAAGCTTTTTTAATTCCAATTAGCCATAAATGGTTTCCTGGATTTTCTCAGGGTAATTTCTGTTTAATTAAAATTATGAATACTTTTTTTAGCATTATTCTTGTTGTCCTTCTAGATAGTATTTTACTACTGTTTTTGTATTATAGTGCAGAGTCTTTTGTTGGGAAACCAGAAAAGGAGAACAATATCAGACTTCTTTTGAACTGGAAATGGTGCAATCCATAGTTTCTTATGATTTGGAAATTTTTACATAAGAACTACTCTTTTGGCATTACAGCTCTTAAGTTATATCACATTTTTATTATATAACTAGAGTAGAAAATTCCAATTATGCAGTATCTTGTAAAATCCAGGGATGCAATGTTTGTATAATTTGTTGGCTATATTCTGATTGTAAAAACATCAAATAATTGAAACTTCAAGTCACACACCGTTGTTGAGATTTATATAACTCCACAAAAAGCTGAAATCGTACATTAGAGTGCTTTAATACTTTAATAATAATATTACAGGACTGCAATAATTATAATGTTGACACCATGGAAAATGATTTAAAATCAAACAATCTTTAATTAATTTCTTTAATTATTCTAAAATGTAAAATTTCTTTAGAAGCATAGTCTTTTATCAAACAGTTGAAGTTATTTGTATGTCTATCAATGGTAATTATTTCTCAATACTGATAGTTTGTTGGTCAAATAAAATATGCAATACTTTCAGGAGACACTTTGGAGTATAGCATGTCTTTGCTAGATAAACCAGACCTTCCTCATTGGATGTTTTCTCAAACTAAAAATCAAAGAGATGCTTTTCTTTATGGATCAGCAGACAATCCTGGCCGTCTTGTACAAATTGAAGTAAGTTTACACTTGTTTATCAAGCCTATTAAATTAAAGCTGTTTGTTCTTGCCTCAGCGTTTTACATGCTTTAATTCTTTAAGTGTTGATTCTTAACTGAGTTTCAGGCTTAACCCATTTTTTTTAAAATGTTATTCTATGGAAAAACAGTTCATGCCAAGAAATTGTTTTTTTTTTTTAAAATCTTCCATGATGTTTGACCATTTGAGGGTTAAAATAGTGCTAGGTTATTCTTTATTATATAATTAAAATAGGTGTATTCTTTATTATTAAATTGAATTATGTTATTAAATTGAAAAGAAGCCAAATTTTAAATTAGACTCCCAAATTCTAGCATCTATTCTGCCTTGTAAAATTGATTCAAAAATCTCTTGAATTATATCTGATTAAGTTGTCAAATTTTAAATTATTGCAATGTTTTCAGTACAAAAATTTTGTTTTCATTTTCTGGCTAATTGTCATAGTGGGTGATTTTCTCAAAACGTTAGCTTTTGACTAAGACAAAAAAATTCATTTCATAATTAACTTAATGTCGATAATTTTTATATTTGAACCACATATTTAAGTATACAAATCAACAACCAGAAATGTAAAAACTTAATTCTACTAATATTCTGTCGGTAATGCAAAAAAAAAAAGTTCAAAAGCTTCAGAAGACTCTAGAAAAATCAAGTTCTATACTTAATTACTAGATGCAATCTTCCAATAATGTTAACATTACAAGTTTTGTGATAAGTCAAGAGATTGCTAAGCAAGAGAAACCATTTACGAATGACAGACATAAGAAGTTGTTTTATAAATACAACCGAAGAGCTCTTTCTAGTTTTTAGGAACAAAGCAAATATTTAAAAGAAAAAGTTTCATCATTATCTGCTAAAATAGTGAGAGATAGAATAGTAGAAATATCTTTGAATCTAACCATGATGAACATAAGAAGTTGTTTTATAAATACATCCGAAGAGCTCTTTCTAGTTTTTAAGAACAAAGCAAATATTTAAAAAAAAAAAATGTCATCATAAACTGCTAAAATAGTGAGAGATAGAATAGTAGAAATATCTTTGAATCTAACCAAACAACAAGTTGATATAAAATTAATTTCAACTTAATCAATAGCAGTTGATGAGTCTTGTTGTATAAATGATCTTCAAGTTTCACTTTTGTATGATTTATTTCATCTTTAAATCCCAAAAAGGAACTTTTAGGATTACCATTTATTAGAAAGGTTAAACACATGAACAGGATATAGTAAATATTGTAAATGAATGTGTTGAAAGCATCATATTCCACTCTGTAAAATTGTCTCTATTGCCACAGATGGTGGAAAAACAGATTTGTTACTATTTTAAAAGAAAAAACACACCATTTCATTATCTATATGTTTGTGATTACTCATTTTTACTGTTCTACTGTAATTTAAATTTAACCTATTGCTGCAAAATAACACCTCAAAATTCGTCGAGGTGTGCTAGCGAATGAAATTCGTCTTAACTTATGCACACTTATTAAGCCTGTTTATCTACAAGATGATATACAAGATTTATATTTTTGTGTAGAAGCAGTGGTTTAACATTCAATTCTATTCATGAAATTCGATTAAATATGATAATTCTCTTAATTTATTTCACCAGTGTAAGTAGTTCTACCAATTTTTAATTTGAAAATTGTCCAAATTATGGACATGAATAACTAAAATTTTCATGAAAAAAGAAACTTCTATACATATAAATGGTTGTACCGTAATTTATGGAAGAAACACCGTGGCGTTTATGAGTTTTAAAGTTTTAAGTGCGGCGTTTACGATATTTTGAAAATAAATTTTTATTTTTCAAAGAGAAAATAAAAATTTTAATCAAAATAGTTGCAAATTATGGCAAAATATGGCGCCACCATTGCTAACCCACCACCCCTTAAAGAAAGTGGGTTGATCTCGATCTAGTTCCGGTCAAACCGCGTGGTTGATAACTCTTTCACATTTTTTCTCACTTTGTTATAACATGCTTTGCATAGTGTAGAGAAATTAAATTGCGGATAGTTTTCTTTTTAGTATTTGCTAATATTTTTTCATATTGCAATATGCCTCCTAAAAGACATATGAGTTATACAGCTGCTTTCAAACTGCAAGTTATTGAACGAGCTTAAAGTATACGAAATCGTGCAGCAGCGCGAGAATTTGAAGTAGATGAGAGATGCATTCGCCGATGGTGGTCGGAAAAAGAAAGCCTAAGAAACATGCCGAAAATGAAAAGGACAAGAAGAAGTGGACATTAAAATTCATCTACAAGCCGAAAAGATATCTGCAGACATGGGAATTTCCAATTTTAACGGCAATCCGAATTGGTGTCATCGGTTCATTACAAGAAAGAAATTATCTGTGCGAAGTGAAACAGCAACCGGCCAAAGTCTTCCAGATGACTGGAAAGAAAAAGAAGAATCCTTTTTGAATTATATGAAGGATTTAAGAGCTCAGGAAGGAATTAAAGAATGCCAAATCGTCAATATGGACGAAGTTCCGTTGACGTTCGATTGCCCACCCAACCGAACGGTAAATAAAACCGGTAATAAAACCGTTTCAATTGCTACATCTGGCCACAAAAAAACATCCTTCACTTGTGTGCTTGCCTGTGCTGCTAATGGCGAAAAATTAAAACCGATGCTGATTTGCAAGCGGAAAACGTTGCCTAAGGAAATTTTCCCAAGTGATGTCATCATAAAATGCAACGAGAAGGGCTAGATGTGCGAGAAAATAATGCTTGACTGGATTAATGAAGTCTGGCGTAAAAGAAAAGGGTTATTTTTCCAGCCAAGTGGCATTCTTGTGATGGATACGATGCGGTCATATTTTCTGGACTCGGTAAAAAAGGAAGCAAAAAGAGCTTCAGCTTCTTTAGCTGTTATCCCAGGTGGGCTAACAAAAATACTCCAGCCGCTGGATTTAACAGTAAATAGAAGTTTCAAAAGCCACATGAAAAAACTTTGGGAGGCATGGATGGCTGGCGAAAATCACTCATACACAAAAAACGGAAAAGAGCTTCATATGGAGAAGTAGCTTGATGGGTTTCAGAAGCTTGGAAAGCAATTTCTCCAGACACTATAAAATTAGGTTTTTCTCAGGCAGAAATAATCCCGAGTGTTTCTATCGAAGAAAAATGCGATCCGACAGATGAAAATAATGATGATACTGAATTGGATGAAGAATTGCTTGAATTGTTTAATTCCGATTCTGAATGCAGCGAATTTGAAGGGTTTGAAAGAACCTTAATTTTAAGTGGATGCGACCCACTTAAGTTGTAAAATGTAAATATGTTGCAATGTATGTCAGTTATATAATTCTTAACCTAGAGAGGGCGCCACAAGCGATTACCGATAGTAAAAATATTATTTTGAGCAGTTTGTCCAAAGTGTTTAATTAGTGTAATAACAATTTCTTGCTTTTGTTAGACTACACATTTTATACTTTAATTTATATTTTAATTTTAAATTCTAGTAATATTTATAAAGCATTACTTTAATATATTTAATTTTTGCCGCTACATCGTTGTTATGGGTGCGACTTATAAATTGATATGTTCTTAGTTAAATAAAAGAGGTATGTTTCCAAAAAAAACAAATAAATAAAATAAAATAAAATAAATAATTATAAAATGTAAATACGTAGTAATGTAAGAAAAATCATTTATATTAAATTAATATAAATGTAGTTATTTAAATTTTTTATCTAAAGATGGCGCCAACAGTCGATTGTAACATGTTGTTTTGAGCAGTTTGTCCAAAATATTCAATAACAGATTACATTCTTGATTTATTATAATTATACATTTATAAATTTTAATTTATATTTTAATTTAAAACATTAGTAGTATTTATAAGGAATTAATGTTATATATTCACTTTTGCCGCTAAATTGTTATTATGGGTGCGGCGTTTACAACATGTGCGGCGTTTACCATGATTTTTTTCTTTTAAGTATCACTATCGCGAGTGCAGCGTTTACGATAGGTGCGGCGTTTCTTCCATAAATTAGGGTAATTATTTTTCTACTTGTAGTAACATAAAATTTCCAGCTGAGAAATTGTCCTTTTAACTGGTACCCAGACTTTCTAATGCTAGTTCAAGGTATGAATGTGACCTTATTTTATATTAACTTTCTCAAAACCTGATCTCTAACAATTGAAAAAAATTTTTTGCCATAAATTTCTTACGTGTACTAATTTGTAGCGTGTGATCCCAACAGGCAGGTTGTACTGAATTAACAAAAGTTAAATACTATCCAGCTGAACACTTCTATAATTAAATCACTAGAGTCAATACCTATATAAAAATTGTACAAAACCGTATATTTGTTTGGCAGTGTGAAGTAAAGGTAACGAACATTTCTTACAAAAATAATGTTTATCTCTTTTGGCATCAACAAGTGTCTCAAAAAGTGCAATTTTGCTTTTGGAATGAATAGTTTATTTTTGACTATAGGAAATGATTTACTTTTTGTTATATACAAATATGTGAGTTCGTTAGGAAATATTTTATAACTGTTAATTGATTTTATCTAAGGCAATATTTTTATAGACAACATGATCAATTCAAATATATGTATATATATATATAAACAATTTTGCCGTATGGGCTAAACGATACCTTCCAACATACACAGATTAACTTTAATAACTCCTCAACTTATTCACTTTTTCATATTAAAGATAAGCTTACAAATCGAGGTAAACGAAGTTCAAGAAGTAATAGAAACTCTCTTAATAGTGACAAATTAAATATAAATTTCCATTCTAATATCGAAAAAGATTTCATTAAACATTATAACATTAAACCAATTAAAGATTTTATCTTCTCCCTTAAGAATTATGATGTATCTAAGTTCTACAATCTTATTATTAACTTTTCTTTTATTAATTTACATTTCAAAATTCTTTGTTTCGATCTTATAAAAGCCAAAATGAGCAGAATTTTGCCAAATAAAAAGAAAAGTTTAGATAATTTATATTTCGTT